ACTGGAACTCTTTCCTCTCTCCCTTAGGCCTGGCCCTGTATCTCCACCTCCCTTTGCTCACCTAAGCCACCCGCTTCTTCCTCCAGTTCTGTGCCACTCTCGCTTTAGTAGCTCTCCTCCTCACCCTGTTGTCTTTCTGGTCCCTGCCCCTCCCTGGCGCTGGGACAGGAAGTTGAGGGAGGAGGCCTGAGTGGTGCCAGCTCCCCCAGCCTGCTTCCCCTTCTGTACCTCGGGCCACTCCTCTACTTCCTCCTGGAGTATCCCCTTCCCTCATGGTCCCCCTATTCCTTCCCCAACCCACTTTTCCTTCCTCTCCCATGTATCCCTGCTCCCAGGCCCTATAGACACACAGGCGGCGGGTGGGGGGAGGATTGACATCACATTGCAGGCCCCAATGAACAGTCTCGCCCCTCCCCCTCCTAATGAGAACCAGCTGTGGTTCCAGAGGCCCAGATGTGGGGGTAGAGGGGGAGAGCAGGATGGAGCCAGAGGACAGAGTAACAGGACGGGGACAGAGTGAGGGCATGCAGCAAGACAGAACTGGGTGGGAGAAGAGGTGTGAAGATCTGGGGAAAGAAAAGATAGATCTGGGCAGGAGGCAGGACAGACAGATTGGGGAAAGACAAGATGATGGCTGATCTGGAGGAAGGGATGTCTTAGGGAAGAGGCAGTGAGAAACACTGGACAGATGGGGGAGATGGTGCTGAGATGAGAGCTGGAGAGAGGATGAGACAGTCTCGGGAGAGAGTCTGGAGTTCGAGTTTGGAACTGGAAGCCCTGGAGCAGGAAGTGGTGAGGCAGAGTCCAGACAGAGGCCCCAGGGACCTAGAGGTCACAGCTGCAGCCGCAGAGCTGACCACGAGTGCCCCGGCAGCATGTGTGAGAGCATGCCTGCGTGTGGGTGGGTCTGCAAGTGTGTGCGCGCGTGCCTGTCTGTGAGACTGTGCATGTGTGAAGGTGGGTCTGTCTGTGCGTATGGGAAGGTAGTGAGTGCGTGGGAGTGTGCCTGTGTGTATACGTGGGAGGGGTGGGGTATCTGCTTCCCCATGTGAATGTGCCTGTCCATGTGAGGCCTATGAGAAAGTGCCTTTTTGTGTGTGTCTGTGTGTATGCTTGCATGTGAGTGTGTGTTTGGGGGTGGGGGAGTCCATGTGAGTGAATTTGCACATCTGTGTGTGTGAAAACATGTTTCTCTGTATTTGTGAGGAGGGTACCTGTGTATGTGCCCTGGTTGTGTCTGTTGTAGCCTGTCTAGGTGTGAATGAATGTGTGTTGAGTGTGCTTGTCTGCAAGTAAGTTAGTGCATGTGTGGATCTGTGGCTTTATGAGTATGCACCTTTGTGTGTCCACTGTGAGAGTGTATTGGGACAGTTGGCACTGGAAAGGGATCCAGGCTAGGTGATGAGGAGGGCCCTAGGGTCTACACAGTTTGGAAGAAGGGGCATCTGCCTGAGTCTGAATCCCTCCTCTTCAAAGTTGATCTTTCACCTGAGCTTTTATCTCATACCTTTCATTCAAAAAATGCATTGATCATGTACTCTGTGCCATGCTCTGTGCTATACACAAAAGTGAATAAGATCCAATCGTGGCCTTCAGATAGCGGACATTCTGTCTCTGGGTGGGGAGGCAGAGTTATAACAGTGTAGTAAGTACATTGACCCTACTGTCCATTCTCTCCTCTCCCCACCAACCATAACTGCCTTCTCGCTACTGACTGACTAAACGGACAGAACCAACTTTTAACCCTGATGTGGAGCCCAGTCTCTAGGCTTGGGCCAGCCTGTACTTTCAGTCTCTCCCCTCTCTGAATGAGGCCGATGCTCACTCTGACCTTGTTCTGAACTTCTCTGGCCTGTTGTTCCTTAGGGCAGCTCCATGGGCCCCTCAGACTTGAGCCCCGGGGAGAGGGATCTTAGTGCACACATAAGAACCCCAGGACTCTCAGAGAGCATCTACCTAATGCCCAGCTCTGGGCTCCTTGCTTCCATTGCCTCTAATTCTCACAAAACCCCACAGAGTAGGTCTTACCAGAGCCATTTTAGAGATTAGGAAAATAACAGGGACCAGACTCAAATCCAACTCAAACTCTGGAGATCCTGCTCTTTTTATAGCCTCACACAGATGGAAGAGGGTCGGGGCTGGGAGTGTACGAGGGGGGCCAGAAACTCTCCTTCCTTAGCAAGACAGGAAGTCCTAGAGCAGAGCAAATCTGTATAGACCCAAGGACACACTTTTGTAGCCACAGGACTGACCGTGATGTCTCAAGGGCACAGGCTTACATGTGTTTGTCATCTTAGTTGGCATGTCCATGATTGTTCTCTCTGTGTCGGTAGGTGAGTGGGGTGGTGTGCAATTCTGAGGCTCCAACCATTCATTCAGCACTGATTGCCTGCTGACACTATACCTCTACTAAACGCTGGAGAATCAGAGACTAAATAGGACCTTCAAGTTGCTGTCCTCAGGGAGCCTCCAATTCTGAAGGGAGGCAGACACGTAAACAAATAAGGGCTGCTGTGCAATTAATGTCAGTGTGCACCAAAAGCAGTGGGAGCCCAGTAGAGGGTCCAGCTGGCTCTGTAGGAGGTGATGGAGATGTAGAAGATTCCACAGAACACAGGACATTTGAATTGTATCTTCAAGTTTGAGTAGGAGATGACCACTTGGAGAGGATTTATAGGGGATATCTCAGACCGAGAGAACACTTCATACAAGACAAGGAGTTGGGAAGGAACACGATAATGGTTTAGTGTTGGAATGCAGAGTATGGTGGGAAAAGGAAAGGGAGGGCACACTGGAGAGGTTGGCAGGACTCAGATCAGGAAGATATATGAAGGAGGCTGGACTTTATATTTTTGACCAGAAATTAGACACTATACCTAATGTCTATGAACCCTTGAAACTACAGACACAGTTTGTGTGTATTGTATCTGCATTTTTTTCCCCTAGAGAGGCAGTAGTTTCTGCTCTAAGTAATGGGGAACCAGTGGAAGCCTTTTGTCAGGAGTGGTTTTTTGAGAGCTGTGTGGATACCTCTGGTCAGGTGGAGATGGATCAGATGGTCCAAGCCAGAAGGTTGGGGGGCCAGTAAGGAGCCAAATTGAAAGGAGAGATGATGAAACTGGCACTGGGACAGCAGCAGTGGGAAGGAGAGGAAAAGGCACCCTTGAGACATGTCTAGTTGAGATGGTTAGGTTTGGATAACTAATTGGAAATAAGACTAAAGAAAAGCAAGGAAGCCAGGAGAGCTTCCAGATTTCTGGCTTGGACACCTGGATGAGTGGTGGTGCTGTTCCCAGGAAAGGGACTGGAGGTAGAAAATCAGCTTGAGGTGAAGGCTGGAGTTCTGCTGTGAAGGAAGTCCAGACATGTGTCTCCAGAGCTAGAAATGGAGTTCAGAAAGTTATTAGCAAATAGGTGGTATATAAAAAAATGATTGATATGCCCTAGCTGGTTTGGCTCAGTGAATAAAGAGTCAGCCTGCAGACTGAAGGGTCTCGGGTTTAATTCCGGTCGAGGGCACAGGCCTGGATTGCAGGCTCGATCCCCAGTGGGGGGCATGCAGGAGGCAGCCAATCAATGATTCTTTTACATCATTGATGTTTCTAGCTCTCTCTCCCTCTCCCTTCCTCTCTGAAAGCAATAAAAATATTTTTTTAAGAGGTTGATACATTTGAATTGAAGGCATGGGAAAGGATAAGATCTCCCAGGCAGAGTGTGGAGAGGGGGAATGATGTGACTAGGATTGAGTCCTGAAGAGAACCAATTTTTTTAATCTTCAGCAAGGATATGTTTTTCATTGATGATGATGATGATGAGAGAGAGAGAGAAAGAGAGAGAGAGAGAGAGAGAGAGAGAGAGAGAGATATCAGTTGCCTCCCATATGTGCCCCAACTGGGAATCGAATCCACAACCTAGGTATGTGTCCTTCATGGGACGACACTCCACTAACTGAGCCACCCACCCAACTAAAGAGCACCAATTTTTAAAGGATGGGTAGAGGAAGAACTTGCACAGGAGATGGAGGAGTGGACAGAGAATGGAAGGAAGAGGTGGGGTCGCCATGTGAAGCCAAGACGAGTAGGCTGCAAGAAGCCAATGACCACTAATCCAGTGTTCCAGAAGGATACAGTAAGAGGAGGATTAAAAAAGTGCCCATTAGATGTAGGATATAGAAATGAGTGGGAGCTTAGTGAAAGCAATGTCATAGGAGAGGAAGCCTCACTTCATAGAGGGTGGAGGGTGTGAGAAGTGAGAAATTGGAATAAATGAATCAACCTTTCAGAGAGAGTTCCTCTCACTTAGTCACTAAATGCCATCTTGAGGCTTTAGGTCTCCTCCTTCTTAAACTTCAGCAACATTTGAAACCCTGGCTCTTCTTAGCCTCAGAGCACCTCCCCTCTCTGGCTTTCTGTCTGTCTCTCTCCCTGACCAGTTAAAGATACCTTTGTCCAGCTCATGGTTCAGGCCAGAAATTTGTCCATCATACCTGACTTCTCCCACTACCTCTTCCTTTGCCTTCAAACAGTCACCAAGCTCTGTCTATTCTACCTCCTGCAGACCTAGCCACTTCTGCAGACCTTTCCACTACTGTCATTTTCATTGCTAACACTCATCCAAGTCACCATCAAAGCAATGCCAGCGCCTGGGCTCCCACAAGTGTGTTACAAGCGCTGTCCTAAGATAACCATCTTCACAACATGTAAGTCAGATCTTGGCACATCCCTTCTCAAAATACTTTCATGGCTTCCATTTGCTTTTAGGATTAAGTCAAAACCATTAGTATGAGTCCCTGCCCCATTTGGGAATCTGAGGGCATTCAGACCTGAAAAATAGGGACAAAACAATCTGCTGAGAGCAGGGTCAGGCTGGGAAGGGAACCCGCCAGGGAAAGATGAGTGGGTCCTGAGGAGTCATGAAGCAGAGGCCTAAACCCCAGTCTCCCTGAACTGTTGATCCCTTCCGCCTCATGACCTTTTCCCTTCTGATTCTCTCTCAGGTCAGAGAGCCTGCACTGGAGCCAGAGCTCAGATTGGACCTGATCCAAAGCCTGAGATCAAGCTGGGCCCAGAGCCTGGCCTGGAGCCAGAGCCCCAGTCACATCTGGTCTTGCGCCTGTCATGCCGAAGGAGTTGGGCACTGTGCCTTCCTGCACTGGCATGCAGGGCCCCGGGCCCCTCCCCCTGCTCCCACTGCTGCTACTGCTGCTGGGGGCCAGGGTGCCAGGAGCCTGGGGTCAGGCCGGGAGCTTGGACCTGCAGATTGATGAGGAGCAGCCAGCAGGCACACTGATCGGGGACATCAGTGCAGGGCTTCCGGCAGGCACGGCAGCACCTCCCATGTACTTCATCTCTGCGCAGGAGGGCAGCGGCGTGGGCACAGACCTGGCCATCGACGAGCACAGCGGGGTGGTCCGTACAGCCCGTGTCTTAGACCGTGAGCAGCGGGATCGCTACCGCTTCACTGCAGTCACTCCTGACGGCGCCACCGTGGAAGTTACTGTACGAGTGGCTGACATCAATGACCATGCTCCGGCCTTCCCACAGGCTCGTGCTGCCCTGCAGATACCTGAGCACACAGCTCTTGGCACTCGCTACCCGCTGGAGCCGGCTCGTGATGCAGACGCTGGCCGCCTAGGAACCCAGGGCTATGCATTGTCTGGTGACGGGGCTGGAGAGAACTTCCGGCTGGAGACACGTCCTGGTCCAGATGGGGCACCAGTACCTGAGCTGGTAATTACTGGGGACCTGGACCGAGAGAACCGCTCACACTATATGCTGCAACTGGAGGCCTACGATGGTGGTTCACCCCCTCGGAGGGCCCAGGCCCTGCTGGATGTGACGCTGCTGGACATCAATGACCATGCCCCAGCCTTCAATCAGAGCCGCTATCACGCTGTGGTGTCTGAGAGCCTGGCCCCCGGCAGCCCGGTCTTGCAGGTGTATGCGTCTGATGCCGATGCCGATGCCAATGGGGCTGTGACGTATGAGATCAACCGGAGACAGAGCGAGGGTGATGGACCCTTCTCCATCGACGCACACACGGGGCTGCTGCGGCTGGAGCGGCCATTGGACTTCGAGCAACGGCGGGTGCATGAATTGGTGGTGCAGGCACGGGATGGTGGGGCTCACCCTGAGCTGGGCTCGGCTTTTGTGACCGTGCACGTGCGAGATGCCAATGACAACCAGCCCTCCATGACTGTCATCTTCCTCAGTGCAGATGGCTCCCCCCGAGTGTCCGAGGCCGCCCCACCTGGCCAGCTTGTTGCTCGCATCTCTGTGTCAGACCCAGACGATGGTGATTTTGCCCACGTCAACGTGTCCCTGGAGGGTGGAGAGGGCCACTTTGCCTTAAGCACCCAGGACAGCGTCATCTACCTGGTGTGCGTGGCTCGGCAGCTGGATCGGGAGGAGCGGGATGCCTATAACTTGCGGGTTACCGCCACCGACTCAGGCTCACCCCCACTGCGAGCTGAGGCTGCCTTTGTGTTACATGTCACTGATGTCAATGACAACGTGCCTGCCTTTGACCGCCAGCTCTACCGACCTGAGCCTCTGCCTGAGGTTGCACTGCCTGGCAGTTTCGTGGTGCGGGTGACGGCCCGGGATCCTGACCAGGGCACCAACGGTCAGGTCACCTATAGCCTGGCCCCAGGCAGCCACACCCGCTGGTTCTCCATCGACCCCACCTCAGGCATCATCACCACGGCTGCTTCACTGGACTATGAGTTGGAACCCCAGCCACAGCTGATTGTGGTGGCCACGGATGGGGGCTTGCCCCCTCTCACCTCGTCTGCCACAGTTAGCGTGGCCCTGCAAGACGTGAATGATAATGAGCCTCAGTTCCAGAGGACTTTCTACAATGCCTCACTGCCCGAGGGCACCCAGCCTGGAACCTGCTTCCTACAGGTACACAGTGGGGTGCTGCTATGGGCAGGAGAGGATCCGAGGGCCACAGGGGAGCTCAGAGCAAAAACTAAGCCTTTTAGGTGCATCTGTTGATGGTGACTTATGCCAGAGGGTTTGGTCCTATCCTGTGAGCTCCAAAGTCTGTGCAGAGGGTAAGGGTTAGTGAAAAGAGGAGAGAGCAGGGTGCAAGAGCTGGGTCAGGCAACCTTGGTAGTTGGAATTAAGATTGGGTCTAGAGAAAAGGTGTCCTATGATGTCAAGAATTAACTTACCCACTATAAGTCCAGCACTGCTGGGCCCTGGGAACAAAGAAAGGAGACGGTCTCGGTGGAGAGACACACCAGTAGCTAGTGCTGTAGCAGGCTGCATATGAGCTGCTATGGAAACCCAGAGGACAAGCCTTTGAAGAACCAATGAGACTTTGTCAAATGGATAATAGAGTGTGTGAATAGGGGCTCCAGGCCTACAGAAAGAGCTGCAGAACACCATGTGTTCAGGGGACTTCATTGTTCAGATGAAATTGTGCTGATGAGAAAGAGTTGGAGGGAGATGGGACAAAATTGTAGACAGGAACCATATTCTAAGCTTTGACTTTATCTTAAAAACCATAGGGAACCCTGGCCAGTGTGGCTCAGTAGGGTGGGTGTTGGTCTGTGCACCCAAAGGTTACGGGTTCAATTCCTGATCAGAGCACATACCTAGTAGGGAGCATGCAGGTGGCAGCTGAACAATGTTTTCTACTACTCTCACATCAATGTTTCTCTCTTCCTCTCCCTCTCTTTCTAAAAAAATCAATTAAAAAAATATTTTTTAAAAAACCATAGGGAGCCAATGAAGGGCTCTAGGCAAATCTGACATGTCTTTATTGCTTTGGCTGCACCATGGAGTATGGATGCCAGAGGGGAGACTGGAGGTAGGATGGTTTCTTAGGAGACTAATGCTTGAAGTCTTTATGTCTCAGAAGTCCACCAGACCCCTGAACATCTTCTCAGGGGCTCCCTGTCAACCTAGACTTCCAGGCCAGTGCTTGGGCCTGGCTGGCCCTCTCCCTTCTGGCCAGACTTAGGTTATTTGCCTGCCTGCTGCTGTCCAGCTCCCACCCACACTCTCATGCGTTTACTGTCCCTCTTGGCCCAGGACCAATGGGCTAGGGCTTCCAAACTTCTTTCTCCTCACTAGTGCCTGAAGCAAGAGGGCAACTCTCCAGGTGGTTTCCTGGAGTTTACTGTTAGTAACCATAGGGAAGCAGGCATAAAAATAACCAGTGGGTGTCCATAATGGTTACAAGAAGTCTTAATATTTGATTCACTCAGCATACATTTAGAGTATCTACCAGGTGCCAGTCATTGTGTTAGGGACACAGAATACAGTAATGAATGAATCATTCAACCCCTCTCCCCCAACACCACCAAACACACAATTCATGGAGTTTATAATGTAGAGGGGAGATTCATGTGCAAAGAAACAAAGAAAACATCCATGATGGGGATATATGTGAGATACAGAAAGGAAATATGAATGTCTTCCCAAAGGTGAGGATCCTTGAGCTCAGACTTAAAGGGTAAGCAGTTTATGAGGGGACGGGACAGGGGAAGGTACCAAGCAGAGGTGACATGCACAGAGTGGGAGAGGATGACTTGTTTGAGGGTGTGAGATGGGAGAGTGGGAGATGAGACTGTGCAGGGAGACCAGACAGTGAAAAGTCCAGCCAAGCCAAGAGGTGTGAGCTTTTTCTTTAGGGAACATTGAAGCTTTCTGAGTAGAGGAGTAATCTGATGATATTTGTTTTCTCAAAAATACTTTGGACCATCAGTGTAGAGCACTGGTCCACAGCGTGAGGTGATTTTGCCCTCTGGAGGGGACATTTGGCAATGTCCAGAGACATTTTTATTGTTACAATGGGTGGGATGCCACTGGTACCTAGTGGGTATAGGCCGGGGATCCTATAATGCACCACAACAAAGAGCTGACTGGTCCAAGATGTCAATCGTGCTGAGTTGAGAAACCCTGGTGTAGAGGAATGATGGGGGACCAGACAGCTATGAGATGTGAACTTAACAGTTCAGGGGAGAGACAACCCAAGCCCAGGTCAGGACAGTGATAATGGTGATGGAAAGAAATAGACAAATAGGAGAGATAATGAGGACTTACTTAGTCCCTGGTTGATTGATATACCGGGAGAGGAAAAGGAAAGAACACATTTCTGGCTTGAGCGACTGTGTGGATGGAAGAGTCATTAGAGAGGGGTTTGGAATGGTCATGACTTTAGTCTTGGACAGGTTGGATGTAAGGTGCCTGTGGGGACATCCAAGTGGAGATGTTGAGCAGGCACCTCACAAGTTTGGAGCTCAGAGGAGTGATTGGGTCAAAGTATAGACAATGGTCAGAGCCACAGAACTGGAAGAGAAAAGGCCAGGGAGAGATTCCAGGGAACAAAAACTTGTAACAACGGGCAGAGTAAGGGGAGGTCAAAGGAAGACAGGGGGGTGGGGAAACTGTGGGAGAAACTGGA